ATGTTGTAGAACATGTGATTTATCTTTTATTTTCTTTCAGAATATGCTAAAGCAATAGGAAAACTTAAAAGTGGCCATATGTTCGTACCAAAGATCTTGAGAGAACGTTATCCCAAAGGATTGGAGAACTTAAGCGCGAAGCCAAATAACTATTAAGTTATAATCTTTATTTTCTGTGTTAAAAAAAAAGATTCATATTTTATATTTTACTATATATATAAATATTATTAATAACGTTTTGTTTTGTATACATATACTTTTTATTTTATAGTGGATATATATATATATGATGTATGATTATGTACTTTATGTTTGTGCAATAAAAACACAACAAAATAAAACAAGAAACTGTATATTTACTCATACACACTTTTATATGATCATATATAAATATATATATTAATATATTTATATATTTATATATATTTATATATATTTATATATATTTATATATATTTATATTCATTTATATATAAGTGTATCTATTTATGTATGGACAAATTCGGTATATAATTTTGTATAATTAGATATGTACTATTTTTGTCCAATTATGTATGAGAAATTTTTTACCGGGCAGTGAGTAATCGTTTCGATATTATTGCCTAGACTTATAGATTTGGCTGCAATTACAAAGCGAAATTAACAATTATATTAATTATCTCTTTGTGATTTGTTAACAATGAACCTAATCATAGCGTTAGAAATGGATAACTTTCTTTGTTACAAAAAACATTTTAATTTTAATTATGAACAATATTTTAAGTATGTCTTGAGAAACATAACTTCTGATGAAACTTATACGCGCATAATTACAGCCACAAAATTTTTGTTTTGTTGGATATATACAACGTATTTTATGTTTAAATTTTATGTATTCAATATGAATGTCTTAAATAAGAAGAGTGGAAATAAGAAAGAAAGGTAAATGCCAAATTTTTAAAAGTGAAGTTTCTGATATAAAAAGATACACTATGCATCACATATACTACACATGCTCTGGCAAAAGTTTATCTTGAAAGCCTATTTTTGTACCTATCCTTTTTTATTTTCCTCTTCAATTAACATTCAGAGGAAACCAAAAAGTTATATT